AAAAAAAAAAAAAAACCACCACCACAGTGACAGGGCCCTGAGTGCACTAAAAGGCCCTAATGACTGAGCAGCCTTATCTGCAGTCTCCACCCACAAACCCAGACAAAGAGCCCAGGGGCTCTATTTAAGCTCAGGCCTGGCCCTTCAGTCCTAGCCTGAGCCATCCTGCAGGAGCACTGGTCTTCACCTCAGCCAGAGGTGTGATGGGCCACAGACTTGCTTCCCTGCTTGACCTCAGGATGGTTTTGTCATGATGGACCTGCCTGGCAATCACTAGACCTGATGCTCTCTGGCAGACTTGACTTCCTGGCTTGATCTCAGACCTGCCCTATCACCACAGACTTGCCTAACGCACTGGAGTCTGGCCTGAACCTGGTCCCCAAACCCCAGGTCTGCCCTACCTGCCTCCCTCAGACACTGTGAGACTAGGTCCTCCTGTGATCAGCCCCTAGCAGGGAACTGCTGGCCTTTGTGGCTTCCTGATATACATTTCAATTGTCCCTGAAGTCATTCTTAATCAGTCATGTTTCTACCAAACCACAGGGAAATGTGTATGTATACTTCATTCATGTTGCAGAACTGGGAATGAGAAGCAGCAAAAGATTATTTCTTCAGGGTTTAATGAAAGTGAAGGGAACACTGCAGAGCAGGAACAAAGCCACAAGACCATTTTCTTGGCCACCTGAAGTCAACATTGTGTGCTATGTTTTTCCAAGAGCTGTTTACAACCCTAACATAGCCATGGCTGGAAGGGACATCTGGAGACTGTGTAGTCCAACTTCCCCCACTCAAGTAGAACAGGTTGCTCAGGATCGTGTCCAGTCAAGTTTCGAGCATCTCCAAAGACGAAGTCTCCACAAGCTCTCTGGGCAACCTCTCCTAGTGTTCAACCATCCACACAGTAAACTCTTCCCCCCCCTCCCCCCGTCTTGTTTTAAATGGAATTTCTTGTAATTGTTTGTGCCCATTACCTCTGGTCACGATACTGAGCACTGCTGAAAAAAAGTCCTTCTTACCACCTCTCATCACATGCTTATACACACTGATACGATCCCACGGAGCCCTCTTTTATCAAGGTTGAATCCTAGTTCTCCCATGCCGCCTTTCATGTCACTAGACCTGCTCCACTATGCCCATGTCTGCCTCACACTGGCAAGCCCAGAACTGGACAGGATACTCCAGATGTGTCTTGCCAGTGATGAGCAGAGGGGAAGAACCATCTCCCTCAACCTGCTGGCAGTGCTCTTCCTAATCCTGTCCAGGAGGCTGCTGGCCTGCTTTACCACAAAGGCACATTGATGGCTTATGGTCAGCCTGTCATCCACCAGGATCTCCACGTCCTTCTCTGTCGGGCTGCTGCCCAGTCAGCTGGTCCTCAGCCTGGGCTAGCGCACAGGGTTACTCCTCCCAGGTACAGGGCTTTGCATGTCCCTGTGTTAACTTCATGAGTCCCCTGAGCTGGCCCGTTTTTACAGCCTCTCAAGGTCCCTCTCTCGCTAGTCACGCAACCCTGTGGTGCGTCAACTGCTCCTTCCAGTTTTGTATCACCTGCAAACTTGCTGAGGGCGTGCTCTGTCCCACGATGTCGACCATTAATGAAGACGTTGAACAGTATTGGCACAAGGCATCAATGTCCGAGTTAGTCCGGTAGCGACTATTTTCCAGGTGGTCTTTGTGCTGCTGATCACAATCCTCTGAGCATGGCAGTTAAGCCAGTTCTTGAACCACTTCACTGTCCATCAGTCTAGTTTGTCCTTCATTAATTTGTCTATTAGGATGTTATGGGAGACAGGTGTCCAGTAGGAAAAAAGCCTTGCTAAATTCAAGATAAACACCACCCCTGGCATTCCTCATCCTGTGAGCCAGTCATTTTGTTGCAGAATTCTATTAGGTAGATAAGGCATGATTTCCCCTTTGTAAATCAATACTAGCTACTCCCAACTATCATCTTGTCCCTCATGTTTGAAATAGCATCCTTCCCAGGATGAAGGTGGGATTGTCTGGCCTGCAGTTCCCTAAGTCCTGCTTCTTACCCTTGTAAATGACTGGAGTGACATTTGCTCTCCTCCAGTCCTCAGGAACCTTTGCCAATTACCACGACCTCTCAAAGGCAATCAACAGTGGCCTTGCAATGATATCTGCCAGCTCGCACAGCACTTGTAGGTACATCCCATCAGTTCTCACGGGCTTGTATCTGTCTGATCTCTACGTCTAATACATTCCTCAACCTGATTCTCCTCCACTGAAGGCAAGTAGTCCTTGCTCCAGACATTGCTACTGTCCCTGGGACCTGGCATTCATCTCACCCATAAATACAAGGGCAAAGGTAGCATTCAGTATCTTGTCCTTTTCTCTGTCCTTTGCCTCCAGGTCCTTTGCCCCATTCAGCAGATGCCTTACATTTTCCCTAGTCTTCCTTTTGCTGTCGATATGCCTGTAGAAGTCCTTGTTCAACCTCCACATCCCTTGCCAAATTCAACTCCAGATGGTCTCTGGCTTTAGATGCATCCCCTTCACGGTTGGACAGTGTCTCTGTACTCCTTCTGCGGCACCTGACCCTGCTTCCACTTCCTGTATGCTCCCTTTTTATGTCTGAATTTTAAACAAGAGAATTCCAAAAACATAATTTCTCATCACACATAATATTCAAGTTCTCTGCAGAGGACATCCCTGCTCTTAAGCTAGTACTTATACCCAGCACCACAGCAAATCTTAAAGATGTCACTTAATGTTGGAGGTGCTACCTTTCAGGTGAAAGAGAAGCCCTTGTCTCTTGAGGTCTTTAAACATCCACTCACATTTAAGAACAGGGGTATTAATTCCAGTCTTGTGGCATACATCAGTAGTTCTATGCCTATTCACATTTTCCTGCAGTTTTCACCTTAAACTCCTACTGGAGCTCCAAAAAGGACCAGCACCCTACTTAGCCAGAGATTAAACAATTTTTTTTAAAAACTCACATCCTTACAAAACAAAGCAACTTAAAAGTATATTTTGAAATGAAGATTTACAGAAATTTATACTAAAATATAGTATCAACCAGTAAAAGGTTTGAGATAAAATGAATTTGTAGAGAAAGAGTACTGACCAGTCATTTATCAAGCAAAATAATGCAACATACCTCTTCCTTTTGAAAGGTGACTTTGGCATGTCAGCCACAGGGATCATCTGTTCTCCTGGACGTACCCACATAATGGGACCATCATCACTGTCTTTACGACTCTCTAATTTTAAACTAGAAAGTGTTCCCCATGGCAGTGTACACTAATGGGAAATACAAGCCACAATTTTGAAGTGAGTTACTTTAAAAACTTTTTAAAAGGAGCCTTTATCTGTCATGATAAAAACATTTATTAAGATCATTCAATTATGTAAGCAAGTATCACATACTCTCACTTTATTATAATGGTACTAGATGGTATGTTGTCCCCCTTCTCCCAATCCATTCCCTTCTGTCCTTACTTTTAAGAAGGGTGATTCTTCCAACATATCAAGGAATTCAGGGAAGTAATCCCCCACTTCCTCATCAACTGCTCCAACCAGGCTGATCTGTCTCATTGGGCCAGCTCTATATGTACCATGAGAGTATGTTCTTTTTACCTACAAGTAGAATATGACAGCAAAAGTTATACTGAGTCCACTACAGCTCAAAGTCTACATTCAATTAACACCTTTATGATTATGTTTTCTGATTTCTATTAGTCCTACGGTCTTCAGTATACTTAACATTATAATAAAGTCAATTACCATAAACTCATCACCAAAGACAGAAGTTCTTACTAAAGACACATGTCAACTTGTATTTTATTTATTCTGAAGTCTGACAGTAAGATCAAGTAACTACTTATTGCCTTTCAAGAAAATAACATTCTAAAGTAGCAACTGTGAAAAGCTATTAACATATGTTCTGGTCAGTAACTAGTAAATAAAGATTCTTACCTAGATTACTCAAGTCTAGCTGAATTTTTACCTTTTTCCTGTCACAGTTAGGTAGAACCCTGAGTTACAACTAATTAAACTCTGAACATTTCCTCTGCTAATCATCCTCTCCAGTATGGCCTCTGTGCGAGCACATTAACCAGAGCTAATTATCACCGTGAAGACAGAGCTCATCAAGAGTTAGTACAGGAAGAGAGAGAATGACAGTTATTCCTTCATTTTTGCTGTGCTAACACATCTTCCTTAAAACTTTTAAGGGCTGTAACATTCACTGCTCAAGAAAAATCTTTTATTTTAAACTTGAACAGAAACATATATTGTTAGAAGGTTTTTTACAATAACCTGATCTGTCGTGTTACATCAACAAAATACTTAGGCATGAGATTGATGAGGATCATGTCCCCTTAAGCTTCCAATCTATTTAACAGGTTGAAAGACACAGTGGTGGTGTTAGATGAAATATGACCAGAACAGAACAGAGGGAAGAGCAGATGGATTACTGCACAAACCAAGTAAGGCTCCAGCACTGCATCTCTAGACGTTCTGCATCCAAAGCAAGAAAAGAAAAAAGGTGCAAGGAAAACGGTTAATAAAGTACTGCTTAGCTATGGTCCTCACCCAGACCATTAAAATTTCTAGTAATTACAGCAGTGCAGAAGAGAATTAACATCAGTTCCTGAAAATAGGACTAAATCATACAACACGGAACAATACTGTGCCCTTCTGAGATGCTAGATTGATGTAACCAAACAGATTCCAGAAATGTGGAACCAAATACTCTTCTTCAGATCATCTCAATCATCATACACACCCAGAAAATGGAGGACTGCCTAAAAGTAGGATTTTACAAAACATCTGAGCTAATGTAATGGCAAGCCACCCCAGCCATAAAGAAAAGAGCAGTACTGCTAAAGAGTAGTATTCCCCTATTCCCCAAATCCATAGTCATACATTCCTGTAGTTATTTTGCACAGACAGCTGGTGATTTTGTGATAAAACATCAGAAAATATTCATTTCTGCTGAATCTTCATCAGCTCAGTCCTCAGTTGTATCTGCACTGGCACAAAGCATCAAGAGCTCACGCAACTCCAACACTGGGACAAGAAAGGGACACTCAACTTGTCGTTACTGGCTTACTGGATAGACCGATTCCAAAGCACCCCGAAACCACGTTCTGAATCTACAGGTAGTCATACATCTGTTACTCACAGTTTACTGATAAACCTAACATGCAAAAGGATGTTTCTTCCACTGGCATAAGTAGCTTAGCATTCCACCATTCCAAGCCAGGATACTAAGCTGCTGTTTTCATCCACACCCCTGATTAAAGGCAACCATTTTTCTGCCTTTTTCCTTGCTTCCTTCTGCTACCACTACAATTCTCCAAAGTAACAAGCTACAGGACAAGAGGAAACAGCCTCAAGTTGCGCCAGGGGGTTTAGACTGAAAATTAGGAAAAATTTATTTACCTAAAGGGTTCTTAAGCACTGGAACAGGCTGCCTAGGGAAGTGGTAGAGTCACCATCCCTGGAGGTATTTAAAAGATGTATAGATGTGGCGCTTAGGGACATGGTTTAGTGGTGGACTTGGCAGTGCTACGTTAATGGTTGGACTTCATGACCTTAAAGGTCTTTTCCAACCTAAATGATTCTATGATTCACATAGCATATGATAAACTAGTTGTGGAATTACTCCAACTGAAAATGCTACAACTTCCCCCTAAAATACTAATTGAAGTTAGGAGAGGCCGTGAAGCTTTCACCTGATCAACTCACCTGTCTGCCTGATGTACCACTAGGTGTTGGCAGTGAAGCATAAAGTTAGCAAAGTGTTTAAGTGCAACATATTCCTTGCTTAAGGTGGATCAATTAAGAAATTTCTTACACATTCCCAAAAAGACCACGTCACTGAAAGTTAAAACTGAACTATCAACTCAACTTTTTAAGCATTATTTGTCCATCCCAACTCTCACCTATCTCTCCTGATCAATTATGTTCCCCTCATTCACCAGGTAGAACAGATTCCTTTTCAAGATCCAGCTTGGGAGAGTTGAAATACCAAAAATAACGCTAAGATAATGTCAAAGTTACAAATGATGAGTGGTTTCTTCTGGGACCACATTCAGTCATACCATTGCAAATAAATGCTCAGACATTTTATTCTGTGTAAGAACTCTGTGCTGGGGTAACCCCACGCAGCAGCTAAGTACCTTACAGCCCCTTGCTCACTCACACCTGCCCATAGTGAGAGACATCAGAGAGAACAGGAAAAGCAAGGAAAGGCATGGGTCCAGATAAAGACAATTTAATAAGTGAAGAAAAGAGGAAAACACATCAAGTGGTGTTTTTTACCACTCACTACCTCCCACAAGCAGATCGATGCTCAGCCAGCCTCTGAGCAAGAGCTACATTTCAGACCAAACAACCCCCCTGGCCCCCTCAGGTTTTTTTTTTTGCTGAGCATGATGTTATACGACGCGAGGAAATAGAGAATGGGGAAATGAACGGGGAAAAAGAGAAAGTCTTGACACTGCAAGTACTGCTCAGCAACAGCCAGAACACCAGTGTGTGAGCAACTGTCTTAGTCACAAATCCAAAACACAGCCCCATAATAGGCCACTACGAAGAAAATTAACTCTAACCCATCCAGACCCGTATAAACAGAAAATAAATCCATGCTGGTGATGAAAGGGGAAGATTAGCTCTCTCTTTTCCCTTCTTTCCTGCTCACATCACGTCTTCTGAAGGTGGACAGAGAGCCAGTTTATGGAACTGATCCAATTTCAATCCACAAATTACCTGAAGAATTTATCTATTAGAAAAACGATACAAATAAGAATTAAACAAAGACATAGGCCATGAAGACTAATGACTAGCCAGAAAGAACAAGAGGGAATTTGGAAGAGGAAGCAGCTGTTGGCAGTGAAAAGTGACTCCTATCTCATCTCTTCCATGGACTGGATTATAGCATCCTAAACTCTACACTCAGGTCAGGAGTAGCTATTTAAATGACACTACCTTAGATTAGGTTCAAGAATTAGAAAAACGTATATAAAAAGGTGAAGTCATTCTTAGAGGGAAGAACTAGCCAAACAAAATTTTCACTCACTCCAAAATTAGACTACTACTAAGTAATAGTGTGAAAACACCAAAAAAAGTTCCATTGATGTTTGACTAATGACAAAAGTAAAATTAATCCTGTTAAAGACAACAACAAACTAAACACAATCTACAGCATATTAGAAAACAGCAACATTTTCCTTTCCTTTTACTGTCAGTATCCTTTGGTCGATTTGTTCATAGGAAGAGAAAAAGATTCCTGTATGTATTTCTAAACTCACAAAACCAATGCTGATGTACTAAAACCGGTACTACTTAATTGAATTCTATACATTAAATTATGCACTAACCACAAACCAAATATTATACACCTTTTACAAGGTAATCTTCCTGAATGCAATTTTACAGGTTACAGTGTGACTACGTTTTCAGAATGTTATAAATCCGCTCAAAAAAAATACATGGAACAATCTAAATCCAGAATAAAAGAAGGAATCAATGACATGCAGCTGTTCTAGCATGTGGTCAACATGATCAGAATCAATACATATACACAAAAAAAAACCCCACACAGTTAAATGCAGTATAATACGATGGACAGGTAAAATAGATAGAAACATACAACATAGCCTAACTTCTTTCTTCTCATGTAAATTTGAAGTATGTCATCTAAAAAACACATAAAAGGACTGTCATTCTCTTGCATCAAGGTAAAGGAAAATTATGACAGTAAAAATCACCACTGAATTGAGAATTAGTAAAATTTGAGAATTATCTGCTTCTGTGACCAGTACGGCATCAACTGATTTTTCAGTGTAACTTAACTTGCTCCGTTTAAAGTAAGGAGTTCTAAAAAGCTAATATTTTGGCATAGACTTCTTGGTGTCTAAAAGAATATGAAGACTAAATCTGAATATATATATACACATAAAAAAATACTGACAATAATATACTTGAGCATTATCATCCTACAAATAAGAAATACTTTAGACACCATAAGTGAAAGATGTTTCCATTTTCTGTTTGAAAAAAGACACAAAAATGTAAACTGGGGCAAGCCACAACTGAATTCCTATTTTTAATATAGTAGGTGGATTTGGTTTTGATTTTTTTCCCCCTCAATTGAAGGTCTAACATTTTCCTGGGAGAATTTTAAAGGTTTAGATTTCTTTCAGTTTTTCAGCTTTAAAAGCAGGAAGTCTGGATAAGCAGTCCTCATAGAAAAAAAAAATCCAAACCAACTGAACCCAAAATAATTTCAAGAAACCCACAAAGAAAGCCCCACCAAAGCAGCAAAACAACAAAAACATTAAATCACCATAAAAATACGCTGGGAGATCAGAGGGAATAGTGGGATTCTATTTCACTACACAAGTGCGCAAGCAACGCACTTACACATTTGCATCTTAGAACTGAAAGCATCCAGCTTCACATTCACTGCTACTCCTTTAAATCTGTCACCTCAAACACTATACTCATTAAGATGCAATGTAGCATTCTTTCTTATTTGGTACATTTTGAAAAACTGCCCAAAATGTTTTCTGTTCCTTGCCAACTCTTTTCAAATCCTTAAATGCTTACCTATATTTTCAGTTCAAAAT